TAAACATTTTGACAAGTTTGTTGATAGATTAAGTCTGGTAGGGCTGTTACTACTATACTCTCAGGTCTGTTAAGACTCTAGTTTGACTTTGGGATGACCAAAGGTTTCAGCCCATTAAGCTTGAACTCACTTTTTGCTTTCTTTTGAGTGCTCATTTCATATCTAAGTGCACCATTAGGTTTTGGCGTGCATCAGGTTTCAGTCGCACGTGTGAATTCACTCTTTCAGTAAAATGGGGAATACTAGTTCTAAGCAGTGTCACCCTCGGGCACCCCAACCACTTATATGAACAAAAACTTCAGTTCTTATACCCGCCTATTTTTGGAAAACTGTCTCTGTGCAAGATAGCATTTTTAAATTGACAAAACAACTAAAGGAAATGCAATGTAAGGTGCCTGCCCCATTTCTTCTACCCTTGTTCCTTCTGCCCTTCCATCAGCTGACTCTACTTTATGTCCTTCTCTACCTCCTTACTCCTCTACAATATCCTTTCTTAACTCCATTTCTACCCCCAAGGAACCTGATAAAAAACAGCTAGAGAAACCATTTACTGATGTGGTCCCAAAAATGCCTTTTAAAATAAGATACCCAGAGGAATCTAATAAACCTGCATAGGTTTCCTTTACTCTTTAGTCTAAAGCAGAACTCTGCACAATTGTAAAGGAATTTCCTAACCCTCATGAAAACCTTCATAAGTTCTCCCAGGAATTTAGAATTCTGATGGAAATATACAAACCTGGTTCACCAGGCCTCTATCAATTAATAAATTTGCTAGTAGGACCAAGAGAGGTTTTGGGATGAATGGAGAAGACTACCTGGAAACACCCAAAGGGGTCATTAGCTATAAAAGCCAATGCCTCCGGCACAAAACTAACTCATAGATTCTATCCCCAAAGTTTTTCCTAGGAAAATAGACTGGGTGAAAGTCCAATGTACAAATTTTCTTGAACACTCGGTCTTATATCTAACAGAGTCTGGAGCTGAAATAGCTTTCAACTCCATATTCCTAAATGGACTTTACTCTGAATTATCTGAGCTAATCTAATGCCACAGACTGAAGTGGGAAGCTGTTCCCAACCCTGCTAGGAATTTTATTTGACTCTGGGAGACCAAAGTTTCAACTTATTGTTAACAACCTTGATGAAGGAGCTTGGATTTCCCCCTACCAGGATACTGGTTTGTGGTTCATGTTCGAAAAACACTACAAACTGAATATACTAGAAGTAATTTGGAATTTCAGTGGTCACTTTGGGAAGATGCGTTCCCAACTGCTCTGTCTTTTTTTCCCTCCGCTTTGGGAAAACGAGCTCCCATTTGTGTTGTCTTTTCTTTCCTCTTTGGGGAACTTTTGTTTTGTGCTCAGGGTTGTCAAAGAGTCTGAGATCCCTCCATCTGAGACTCTGGCAAGTTAATAAGTTTTATCTAGAACCTGTTTTTCTGTTGAATTGGATCAACCTTACCAAAGACCTGCTAAATACATTTTAAGAAACTGAGGTGTTTATGTTATGTGATATTGTTTAAGCCCGAGTTTTGAGCTGGCCTTTGCTGGTTTATGTGGTTTTCTGTCTTGTTTTGTTCTGAAAGTTTTCCTCTGATCTAAAGAGTAGTGTCTGAGTTTCTGTCTTGTATCAAGTTGAAGGCTATGGCTGGTATCCAAAATCTCAGTTCTTTTCTCTTCCTAGAAAAACTGCCTCTTGCATCCAGGCCTTCAGTAGCTACTCTGAGAAAATTTGATACAAATTAGTTCATTGAAAAGTGCACTGGAAAAAAAGATTGTTTATTTTGATTGGTATAATGAGGCATCAAAAAGATAAAAATTATTCCAAATTGTTTTTCTAAAGGATCCTATAAAGCTAGAGTTATGAAAAGGTAATCATTTCCTACCACTGGATGGTATTATTAAATTATAGTATTTCTTCAAAGAACTTACTCTGATGGGTTTAATGATAAATAAGCACTTATATAAATGTAGCTGTCCAAATATTTTCTGGAATTAATGAAAGTGAATTCATTCTGACAAAGACTTTTATGTTCTGTAGTATATCAATCTTAAAAGCAAAACTTTTCTGAGTAACTTAAGCTAGATATTAAATGAAATGTGTTTTATTTAAAGAAAAGGAGCAATTTCCAAGAATTGATAAGTTCATTTTTGCTAAAGACCTTTGGTATTTACTGGGTAAATAAAAGTTTGTGATAAAGAGAAGGCAAAACTACTTATCTAGGGAATAGTAAAAGGGAAAGAATTTGGTTATCTTTTGTTTTTCAAAACACTTAAGCCAATGTAAATATATGTAAATTAATTGGGATGACTAATTCTTATTTTTGACCATGAGCCAAAAGATAGGGAGGGTGGGACAGGATTAGGCTTTCTCAGCCCCCAGCCTCTAAGGTCATACAACTCCAGGGAAGCTTTTTAAGGGCCCCTCCCAACTAGGTGGAGACTTTTTAAGGCAAAAGAAAATAAGATGCTGCCTTATTATAGTTATCAGAAATTGGGTAGATCTCCATCATAAAAGGACTGTAAACAAGTTTTGTCTATTCTGGAGGAATTCTAAGAAGCCAAAAGATAGAAATCACAATGAGATGAAATGGCCTGTGGAAGTGTTTCCACCCTTAGCCAAAGACTTAAAATTATATCCATGTCAAAGAGCAGAGACCTTGTGGTTACCAAAACCAGTTGATAAAATCTTAAAGGGCTATACTATAAGAGATATGCAGCAAAGACAATGTTTAAAAGGTTTACTAAAAGGAATTTATTTGATATGGTCAAAATTTTATCTGTCTCACTAAAGTTTGATGGGTTGATTTATGAGATTTTTAAAGAACTTTTAGTATTAGACAACATATAAATCACTGTTAAAATAACAAAAAATTTTTTGATTACTGGATTATTCTTTGCGTAATCTGCCTCAAAGGCAAGGGTTTGGCATCTCATTAGAATGAATTACTGAGTTGAAAACCAAGCTGCAGGGCTTTGAAAAAAAGCAAAGGTATTTACTTTAAAGATCTTTGGTTAAATAACTTAAGTATTGTTTCTTGGTGACCTATGATAAACTCTTGACCACTTTGAAACTTCGTAGAAAGCCACAAAAGATTTTTTCCCTGCTTTATAAAGAAAAGAGTGCTGAAAGAAAAAGGTTTATTTAATGTGTTATAAGTTACATGAAACATGTTGTCCAATCAGGAGAAGTGCCAAATTTCTTTTGGTTAAAATTTGTCTGTCAATAAAATACTTGCCTGGTATTAGACAACAAGCACATGCTATTATGTCAAAATTGTATTATTTTTTTAATTGCTAACTTGATCGCAACTTTCTTTCTTTTGAATTTAGCATCACCAAAGCCAATGGTTTAATGGAGAATTCACATTGTTTACTCATGGAGTTTTTCTTATTAGTGTTCAAATGTTTAGAGACTTGATAATCTTAGTATATTCTTGATATATCCTGATTATATGGTATTATATCTCAAGATTATTATGTGTTATATCTGAAACTCTTTGAAAATAAGGTTAATAATTATGCTTAGAGATATTTTTGTCTAAAGTTTTTTTAAAATCAACTTTATTTGGCTTTGTATTACCTTTTATTAATTCCCATTGGTCTTTCATTTTTTAAATATTATTATTATAAGTTAATCATGGTCCTGTTAAGTTTTGTCATGTGCAGATAAGTTTTTAGTTGCTGAAAATGCTTAACCAAAATATTTCAACTAAAAGATGGACTATATTGGACTTATGAATAGGATTATGATATTTTGAACATGTATACAACTAAACTGAATCAAGATGTCCAGAACTCTTGTGTAGAAGTTGAAGGGTTCACAAACTGTGGCTTATCCAGAATTGCTTGGAACAAAAATTAACAACATAGAACTGAGTGGACTAAAGGATTATTATGGGTTTTATTTGGGAATATTGCTTTAATGTTCTATTTTCTGGATATAAGAAACCATTTTTCTCCTTTCTCCTAAATTATCTAACTAATGAGTTTGTTTTTATTCTTATGTTTATATTTAATCAATTAACCAAGAGGAAAAATAATGAATAGGAGAGGAACGTAAAATTGAAACCAGAGAAGAAACCTTAAAAATATTAAAAAGAAGAATTAGGAGATGAGAAACCCCTTACCTAGAATATTTTATAGTTAGCAAAGTGCTATTAGTTACTAAAATAGTTGGTTCATGCATTAGAGGAAATCATCAGACTTTAAATAGGTTCAGATATTATAACTCTCGAATTAGAAGTTTCTGTTAATAAACTTGGCAATGTTATAAAGACCATAACATAACTACAAGAATATCTAAAATTCAAGCTATGATTTTACAATTAGAAAAACATTAGATTTCCTGTTAAATATCCCAGGGAAGAGTTTGTGCCTTAATAAATGAACATTCTGTGTTTATATTAATAACATGCAGTCTGAGGTTTTATGGAATGTATCTGCTGCTGAGGCACATGAAAAGCAATTACTGATGCTGTTTATATAGAAACAAGCACCTCATGGGACTTGTTTCTTTTGTTCAAAGGCCTAGGGCCATGGTTTGTGGGCCATGTCAGTCAATTGGCCTAATATTGTTCTATCTCCCAGTTCATAATGTAGCATCTGGGGACTTAAAGACTTGCAAGTGGCCATCCAAGAATGAAGTTATTACTTGGATCCACTTGTCCCAATTATGCTTTTGACTGATTGCAAGACGGTGTTAGTTCTTGGTTACACTCACTATTACAAACTGGAATAACTATCTTAATCATTATAACAATCATTGAATGTATAATCGAATGTGCCATGAAATGTTTATCTAATATATGTAACTACTAGAACTCCCCTCACTATGCTAAGAATCATGTATTTAGAAGAAACAAAATTTATAGGAGAAACTAACTGATTTCACACCTTGAGTTAGCATGTTTGATTTCCAAGATTTTCCTCCAAATATGGCCCTGTTTGTAGTACTTACCCTAATGAAAGTCAACTCGCCCTGAAGATGAAGCCTGTCGATATGGCAAGGTGAGTGAAGAAGAAAATTAGTCCAATGACCTTAAGGTCTGGTACTCTCAATACCTGGGCTTGCAACATACCCAAGAAGTCCTTGCAGAATAAAGGTAACTCCATTTTGGGTGTTCAACACTCCTTAGGGAAGTCTTGAACAGTAGGGGGGGAATGTGATAGCAAACCTCTAAAACTAAGGCATTTGGCATAATAAAATGGCTGATATGAGGTCTGAATCAAAAGTCCATTTCGTTACAAGCTCCTGCTTCTGTATTTCTGAGAATGTAACCTTGATTTCTTCTCATTCATATGCATATGGCCATGGGCCTCTGGCTAGGACCTAAAGACCTTAGTCCCCTATTGATCATCTTGTTAAACTGGCCTGGCTCTTGCCCCAAGCCACTCTTAAGTAAATAAGGGTAGAAGTCAGGAATGTGGTTTAACAGCTCTTAGTAAGTAAGGGTGGAGGTCAGAAATGTGACTGTAGCAGAATACGTTTACTCAAGATGTTCCAAGAAGAAGGGTGTTACTGATGATGTACCCATCTTGTGACCAAGTCACCATCACACACTGTCCTTCCCTATCCCTCCTATAAAAGCATATCTCTCTCTCCATGCTTAGGGGCACTTGGTAGATTCCTCTCTGCCCTGTGTTTCCCCAGTTTGTGAATTTTATTGCCCTCAATAAATCTCTTTGCTTTTACTTTAACAGAGTAAGCATTCTTACTCTTAGACATGAGGAGCCTCTCAATTGTTTTCCATTAATTTCTTTCATCAGTGTTTAATAGGTTTCAGTGTATAAGTCTTTCATCTCCTTGGTTAAATGTATTCTTAGGTATCTTATTCTTAGATGCTACTGTAAATTTAATTGTTTTTTTAATTTCCTTTTCAGATTATTTATTGCTGTGTAGTAATCACAGCTGATTTTTGTGTGTTTGTCTTGCATCCTGCAATTTTGATGAATTTCTTTATTAGCTCTAGTAGTTTTGTTAGATTGTTTGGGATTTTTCTCTCTGTAGGATCCTGTCATTTGTGACTAGAGATTGTTTTATGTCTTCTTTTCTTATTTAGATGTCTTTTATTTCTTTTTCTTGACTGATTGTTCTGGCTAGAATTTCCAATATAATATTAAATAGTATTGGTGAAAGTGAATATCTTTGTCTTGTTCCTAACCTTAGGAGGAAAACTTTCAGTCTTTCTCTGTTGAGTATGATGTTAGTTGTGGATTGTTCTTACATGGCCTTTATCACGTTGAGAAAATTCACTTCTATTCCTATTTTTTTGAGTACTTTTACCATGAAAGAGTGTTGGATTTTGTCAAATGCCTGTTCTGCATCAGTTGAGATGATTTTTTTCCCTTTGTTCTATTAATGTGGTGTATTATATTGATTGATATTCTTATGTGGGAACCACCCTTGCATTCCTGGGATAAGTCACACTTGGTCATGGTATATAATCCTTTTAATATGCTGTTAGATTTGATTTGCCAGTATTTTGTTGAGGATTTTTGTGCCTATATTTATAAGGGATATTGGTCTGTAGTTTTATTTTCTTATGATGTCTTTATATGGCTTTTATGTATGGGTAATACTGGCCTCATAGAATGAGTTAGGAACTGTTTCTTACTCTTCTATTTTTTTGGAAGAGTTTGAGAGGATTAATGTTAATTCTTCTGTAAAAGTCCAGTAGAATTTACCAGTGAAGCCATCCAGTCCTTTCTTTGATAGGAGGTTTTTGTTCTGCTTTTTTAATTACTGATCCAATCTCTTTACTTGTTATAGGTCTGTTGACATTTTCTATATTTACATGAGTTAGTTAAGCAAAATTGTGTGTTTTTAGGAATTTTTTCATTTCACTAGGCTATCTAACTTTTAGTGTACATGTTCATAGTATTCTCTTATAATCTTTTTTATTTCTGTAGAATTGATAGTAATTTCCCTACTTCCATTTCTGATTTTAGTTATTTGCATCTTTCCTCTTTTTCTTTTGTTAGTCTAGTTAAAAGTTTGTTGATTTTATTTAACTTTTCAAGGAACCAATTTTTGGTTTCATTGATTCTCTATTGTTTTTCTATCCTCTATTTCATTTATTTTCACTCTAATCTTTATTATTTCCTTTCATTGTGTTGTTTTGGGGTTAGTCTGCTCTTTTTCTGGTTGCTCAATGTATAAAGTTAGGCTATTGATTTGAGATCTTCTTTTTTAATGTAGCCTTTTACAGCTATGAATTTCCCTCTGAGCACTGCCTTCCCTGTATCCCATCAGTTTTGATATACACCTACTCAACTATCTTATTATCCAACATTTTGCATTTACAACAATAGTAAAAAATCTACTATCCAACTATTTTGCACATTAACAACATACGTCTGGCAGTAACGAATGCTGAAGTGCAAGGTGAGACCAATGCTGGCTGTGATGGTTAAAGTTATGTGTCAACTTGGCTGGGCCATGATTCTCAGTGGTTTGGCAGTTGTGTTCTGCTATAACAGAAAATACCATAAGTGGATTGCTTTAACAAAGAGAAATTTATTCCCTCGCAGTCTGGTAGGCTACAAGTCCAAATTCAGGGCATTGGCTCCAGAGGAAGACTTTCTCTCTCTGTCAGCTCTGGAGGAAGGTCCTTGTCATCAGTCTTCCACTGGTCAAGGAACTTCTCAGTGCAGGAACCCTGGGTCCAAAGGATGCACTGTTCTCCTGGCTCTTGTTCCTTGGTGGTATTAGGTCCCCATGTCTCTCTGCTCACTTCTCTCTTTTATATCTCCAAAGACATTGGCTCAAGACACAATCCAATCTTGTAGATTGAGTCCTGCCTCATTAACATAACTGCCACTAATCCATCTCATCAACATCATAGAGATAGGATTTACAACACATAGGGAAATCACATGAGATGACAAAATGGTGGACAATCACACAATACTGGGAATCATGGCCTAACCAAATTAATACACATATTTTTGGGGACACTATTCAATCCATGCATACATAATGATGTAATTTGGCGTTGACGTAATGACGTAGTCGTCCTCCATTTTGTGAACTGATGTGGTCATCCTGCATTTTCACATAATGCCTATTTTTGCGTAATGAGCTGGTCTTTGGGAGCTAACCATGTAAGTGAGTGAGGAGTGGGTGTATTTTGTTTTCACGAAGTATTTGTGAAAAAGTTTTTCGTCTCAAAGTATTTGTCTCAAAATATTTTCTAATTTTCCTGTGATTTCTTCTTTCACACATTGGCTAATATTGTGTTGTTTAATTTCTAAATATTGTGGATTTTCAAGAATTCCTTCTGTTACTGATTTCTATATGCATTCATCATTGCACATATTTTGTATAATTTCAATCTTTTAAAATTTATTGAGACTTGTTTTGTGGCCTAAAATATGATCTATCCTAGAGAATGTTCCACATGCACTTGAGAAGAATATATGTTTTTCTGTTGTTGGGTGGATTGCCTTAGTTTCCTAGGGCTGCTATAACAAAATATCACATGTGGGTGGCTTTGAAGAACAATTATTGTCTCAAAATATTGGAGACTGGAAGTTCAAATTAGGGATTCAACCATGTTGATTCTTTCTGAGGGCTCTGAGAGAACAACTGTTCTGTGCCACTCTCCTAGTTTCTGGTGGTTGCAGACAATCCTTGGTGCTCTTTTGCTGCTTGTATATGCATGTTAACATGGGGCCTTGCACCTGTATGTCCCTGTTTCCATATTTGTTCTCCCCTTTTATAAAACACCACAAGAAGGGATTAAGACCCACTCTACTCCAGTATGATCAAGTGGAATTTATCCTAGGAATGCAAGCTGGCCACACAGCTGGGGAATGGGTAGGGCACAGGAAAGTTAAACAGTCACAAGCTTTCCTACTATTTTGTAGTTGATTTTTCTTTTGCTTGGTGCTATAAACATTTAACTGTTTTCCAGAGTTCTGACAAGTTGATCCTCATGGTTTCTGCTTGGTTTTTTATGTTTCTCTGCACTACAGGAGCATAGAGCTGCTTACTCTGACATTTTGCTCATGGGGACTCTTAATGTAATGAGATATATTTTTGAAGACTTAATATTTTGGTTTTGATTAAGTCTAATTTGTTATCTTTCTCTTTAATGTTTATTGCTTTCTGTTTCCTGTCTAAGGCATATTTGCTACTCAAGGATACAAAGAATTTCTTCTTTACGTTCTTATAAAAGTTTAATTTTTGGATTTATATTTTGGTATATGTTTCATTTTGAATTAACGGTGTATAGTGTGAGATAGGGGCTCATGGTTCATTTTTTTCTGTGTTTACATAATCAGTTTTTTCAGTATTATTTATTGAAAAACTCCACTTATATCCACCTATGTGTCTGTCAATTTGTCGTACTGTGGGGGCTTGCATGTTGCTGTGATGCTGGAAGCTTTGCCATTGGTATTCAAATACCAGCAGGGTCAACCATGGTGGACAAGTTTCAGCTGAGCTTCCAGACTAAGACAAACTAGGAAGGACCCAGTGGTCTACTTCTGAAAAGAATTAACCAGTGAAAACATTATGAATAGCAGTGTAAGATTGTCTTTCATAGTGCCTGAAGATGAGCCCCTCAGGTTGGAAGGCACTCAAAATACGACTGTGGAAGAGCTGCCTCTTCAAAGTAGAGTCAACCTTAATGACATGGATGGAATCAAGCTTTTAGGACCTTCATTTGCTGATGTAGCATGACTCAAAATGAGAAGAAACAGCTGCAAATATCCATTAATAATCAGAATATGGAATGTACAAAGTATGAATCTAGAAAAATTGGAAATTGTCAAAAATGATAAACATCAATATTCTAGCCATTAGGGAGCTGAAATGGACTGGTACTGGCCATGTTGAACCAGACAATCAAAATGTCTATTATGCCGGGGATGACAGCTTGAAGAGAAATGGAATTGTATTCGTTGTTAAAAGGAACGTTTCAAGACGTATCCTGAAGTACAACAGCTGTAAGTGATAGGACAATATCCGTACGCCTACAAGGAATACCAGTTAAAAAGACTAT